GTCTTTTTTTCAGCCCAAAAAATGTATATAAAGATTTGCTGTAGAAATATTTTTAGGCCTTCAAACGATAGCTTCAGGCATGCTCTATAAACCCACAATTTTTTATAAAAATTGTACAAAAACTTTATGAGAAATTCACGTTTGAAGCTATTAAGACAAAAATACACCGGTCGTACCACCTTTTTGCAATCGAAGTATCGCCCAACTGCCAGCAGCCAAGAGTCCTACCTAATAGTTGTTGTTGTAACCTGCTCAATTTGCGTTGTTTTCGCATTATGTTTTACTTCGTTTCTGAAAGTAAATTTTGTAATAAAAATGAATATGATGATGAGGAAATAAATGATAACGATGAAGAGGCAAACATTGAAGAAAAGACAAAAATGGAAACAATGAGAAATACATGTTTAAAAATTAAGGTAACTGAAAGGGTAAGCAAATTTTTTTAAACTTTCGATTGGAATCGAAATAAATTTCGTTCTCAAAAATTTAGTTATCGAAAGTTATCAAGTTACTGAAATTTATTAGATCATCGAAACAGGTTATCGAAATTTATCGAGTCATCCATATTTATTGAGTTATCGAATTATTCAAACTGACGAATGTTCAATTGTCGAAATTTATTCACACAGAAAATTAACGGATTGTTATCGAACTATACAAATTTATTAAGTTATCGTAATACATCGAGTTCGTTGAACTTATCTCGAGAGATATAAATTTTTGTGTTATCGAATTTTATCGAGCCCTCGAAACGCACAGTTATCGAAAATTATCGAAATTTGTTGAGCTATTGAATTTTGTTGAGTTATCGGATTTCAGCGTTCTTGAAATTCACCGAATTGACATTTATCAACAAACTGGAACATATCGGGCCAATTCCAAGTCCAGCCAAAGTCCTCAAAAGACCTGCAAATACATAAAAAAATTTAGTCACGTTTTAGTTCCAAAGTTATTAATTTTGTACCTTACGAGTTAAACAAAGTGGTAAGTCAGAAAACCTTCTAAGAACTAGAAAAATTGTTAAATTTCGACAATAACTGGCACTCGTTGTTAATATAATTTAACAATTTTTTCAACGATAGCCACTGTATAAGAAGTTTTTATAACTACGGTGCTTTTTTTCTTTAATGCAAATATCTACCAAACTCTTTCAGTAAAACCACAAATAAAAAGTGACCCCTCAAGGGTTAAGATTTTTTTTTCTTTTTAATGTGGGAAATCATAAACAATCAATACAAAATCATATTTTTTATATAATTTCTTATCGGTTAAATTTAATTATTGTCAAGACAATAGGTCTAATTATCTATGTACACAGGTACAAGCGATTTCATTCGAGCCTCTCCTATTCATAATTATCAGCTTAAACTCTGAAGCTGCCGAAATCGATAGAGTGGCAAACTGTATGCCATTTTGTTAAAAAATCATCAAAAAAGGTTTCGTTTCTATTGAGAATTGTCAAAAGAAACCATCTCATTCAAAGTTATCAAGCAACTTATCTTTTCTACATCTTCCTTAGTCATCCTAAGGTGAAGTTTACGGTAAAAAAATACCCACTCAAGCTGACGATCGAAATGCTCGTTTCGCTAGAATTTGGTTTTTTTGCTATTTTAATAGACAAAAGATAGTCTCAACAAAGAACGCATTTCCATTCAGAAGCTAGCGGCTCTTCCCCAGAGTCAAGACACCTTCCACTCTGCACTTCTTTATCCTTTCTTTTTGCATGAAATGGCACAAAGTGAAGGGCTGCTGCTTTTGCTATTCGTTGGTTTTCTGTCCACTTTACCGTGGCGTTGAATTTTAAAACTCGCTTGATAACTTCAAAGACATCGAATATTTCATTTGATTCTAATAAAGACGATTTGGTTCAGTTCAAAATTATTATTATTACTTTTTTTCAGGTACCGCTTTCAATTCGAAACCAGTTTGAAAAACATAACTTCAGAGCTGCAAAGAAAGTGCGTATAGAATATAGACACTCGCTTTTACTCAAAAAATTAAATAGCGAGAAATTTTCAAAAACCTTCAAAGTAAGAAAATAATATTCCAATACCTAAAATACACCTAAGCAAGATTTTAACCATACAATTTAAATAAAGCAACAAATTTTTGCAACAATTGAAATTTTATTGCCTTACATTTTCAGTTTTATTTCTACAACACAATTGAATAGGTAAATATTTACTGGGGCTATAGCGCAGACAAAAATACATACATACATATGTAGCTTCGTTTGCTACTGACCTGTATCACCCATATTAAGTAAGGCACAAATATTTTTCAAGCAAATTGAAAAAAAAACTTTATGCATACATTGTATTTTCTTAACTTCTTTAAATTCACCCATTTTACTCTAAATAAATATTCACATTTTCAATATGTATTACAAATACGTACATCCTTAGCAAAAATAAAGAGGAAATAAACACTGAATATTCATTTTCAGTAAATTCAGCACACTAAATGATAAAGCCACAGGATATTGTATCTCAAACAAACGTATGTACATACATATGTATTGTAAGTATTGTAAGTATCTCTTGAAAACATTTGTGCACATTCAAGAAATAAACCGAAAGCGACTTTTTGTGTTCAAATATGTGTAAAAATGTTAAAGCAATATTGCTTAAACTGAAGCATATTTTCAGGCGCCAAACAAAGTTATACACAACAATACGGCTTCTTTGTACGGCGTGTGTTTGTGTATGCTGCACATACATATGTATGTACGTTGCCTGAATGGCATACAATCGAGAAAAAATATAATCCAAGAGAAAGAACACAATTGATGGCAACACAATAACGCCTGGCATACCTTTGTGCGCATGTAATAAATTTTATATTTATGTTCGTATTTAGTAGACCTTTTTGCGTTCAATCGCCCGCTATTTGTGCGTAAGATTTTTGTGGTTTTTATCAAATATTTAATAAATTTTAAAATACAACACAATTCGTTGAATTTGTATGAAATTCTGAGGTAGCATGTTTTTAGGCGCTTAAACGTTTTATGGGTAAAAGTATCTGTATTTGGGTAGACTAATAAAGAACTGTAAATAAAGTATTGTAAATGCATGCCATATTGAAGGCAAGTTTATTTCGAAAAGTAAATAAATGCCAAAAAAAAATTTGCATACTTTTGTATATTTGCCTTACTAATAAGTAAAATATATTTATTTTTTTGAGATACTAAACCTGAGGCATGCTTGTAATGGTCTTTAATTTAATTTAATTTAGTTTTAAATTTACTTTAACTTTTTATTAAAAAATCTGCTAAAATTTTGTAAGACTTTGCAAAATTTTTAATTTTTAAATAGTGAAACAGGTACTCTACTTCTTTAATTTATAGTATTTTAAATAAAGAAATCAATTAAGTTACTAAAGATTATTTATATTTTATTTAAGTCATTTTCAAATCCTCTGCATACATTAAGGGCCAATTTCACAGTGCGTAGTTAACTCAGAATCGACAGTTAACTAGAGATTTTCAGTACAAAATTCTGTAGTTAACTCCCGATTCTGAGTTAACTACGCATTGTGAGAGGAGGATAAATTCATGAAAAAAGGGAATGAATTTCTACTTTTCTCCTTGGAAATATATTAGGAAATACCTTTGCATACTTTCAGGCGTATTTTGTTTACTTAACTAAAGTTTCAGAACTTTAGCTGAGTAGGATATGGAAAGCTTTAGCGACTGGCAGCGCATCAGTTCTAGATTGTATACAGGCTTTTCCCACTTCCAAACCATTGAAGTCAACCGCGTTTTAGGCGGCATAGTATGTGTATGAGGGTTATACTTGCAGGCGCCTTAATATAAATTATTATTATTTTTTCTTTACAAACACATAATATACTAAATTCCCTAGAATGTATAAAAGAATTTTTGAGCTTAGAGAGTTTATGTGCCACATTGAGACCAGAATTTTCTCTTTCTTATGTTATCTTCTTGAAATAGTCTCAGCAATGGCTCAGACTTTGTGGCGGTAGGAGCCCTTGCCTTCTGACTAAAGCATTCCCTACTTCGATGCCATTTATTTCCCTGTGGCTTGCTACCCAAAACACCAGATAGCATTATTTTCGCACATCGCGGCCAAATGCATCACATACTAATTCTTGCCATCTCATCCTCTTCAGCGCAAGATGGGCGAAAGGAGTTTCCATGTACCCTTATTACAGTCAAATGTTTGTGCTACGTGAAGTGACCAGCAGTCGGACAAGTTGGAAAACAAATAATCTTTAAAACTCATCAGAATTGATTTTACCAGGGACCGAACATAACAGTTTTTGATGAAAACTATCATGGAAAAATTCAATATGATGGAATTGTAATTGATACATACACATCGATGTCTTTTTTCACCGAGAATCAAATTTGAAAATAAATTTGTATTTGTAATTTTTATGCAAAATTAAAAAAGTTAGAATTATTTTTGATTTTTATTTTACAAATCCAAAATAACAATTATCTTTGATTTTTACATAAATATTCTGTAGATAACAGTTATTTTTGATTTTTATATATCTTAGATAACAGTTATTGAAGACTTTTATTTATAAAAGTGATCAATAAAAATCAGTTACCGACTTTTTTTTTTAAATCATACGTATAAAAGTCATAATAATTTTTCGCAATTAAGAACGTGTCGGAGAACCAAAATTTACTACGACTTATACAACTGACTTTTATAAGTATGATTTTAAAAATAAAAGTCAGGACTGATTTTTATTGATGACTTTTATAAATAAAAGTCTTCAGTAACTGCTATTTGCAGATTTGCTAGATAAAAATAAAAGAAAAATTGTTTTTTTAGATTTATAAAATAAAAATCATAAAAAACTGTTATTTACGGAGTAATTAAATTAAAGTTAAAAAAATAATTGTTACAGAGTGATTTTTTTTTTAATAACAGTTGTAACTGTTACGGTGCCTGGGTTTTACAAAAGGTTCCAATTGGCGAAGAAGTTATCGGCTCTGCCCACATTCTAGGTTATTCCGCAAAATGGCAGATAGAAGAAAATCCATAGTTTGATAAGTTACCCATTTATCGATCATTTATTTATTATCGATTTGTCACACTCAGCAAAAAGTTAGCTAAATATATTTCTCTCAACACATGATTTTGTAACTATAATCAAATCATGTCTTGAGAGAAACATATTTAGTTGACATAACTAAGCTCTTTTACCAGTGCAGCTCTAATATTTTTAATTAAAAAAAGAAACAACTAAAAAGTAAAATTCTATGCGTTTATTACATTACTTTATCCCATTGGGATATGTCGTTCTTTCATATTGAGCACGAAATACGAAATGACTGTACATTTCCTCTCAGCACTTTCTTCATGTCTCACTCACTGCCACCCTTGCTCGTTCACTATTTTTACTGTCATTTAATTCTAGTTTGCCGCCTGCTATTTGCTTTCGAATATTGAAAAGTAAACACAAATTGTTTATCTTCGCCTCTGTTAGCCTGCTGGTCAGTTCGCCAGCTCGTATTTGTATTTCTACTTGAACAATCAATCAATCAATCAATCAATCAATAATACATTTATATGCTAGTGAGACGGCAATAACAACAACTACTTGCAAAAAATAATAAGCTACCAGCACATTTACTTTTGACTACCGAGACAAAGATATAGAGTTACTAAAAATTTTGCAAATAAATAAATATTTATATATGTAGATACGAAAATGTAGCAAATGGGCTTGCAACAGCCGGTCGATAACTGTTACGGCTAAAACAAGCATATCAACAACACAATCATCAGCAGCAGCTAAAGGGGGGCTGGCTGGCATCCACTAGCCAACGCTCGGGTAACTGGTCATGCAAAATTACTGTGTTGAGCAAATAAAGGCAGTTAGCTGTGTATTTGTAGCGCTGCCGGTGAGTCAGGAACTGTTTCATC